AAAATAAAAATATATGTTGATTTAGAGTAAGAAGTAAAATAAAGTTTTTTTTACAAAATCAAGAAGATTAAACTATTACTATAATTTACAAATTGATATACTGTATTTTAATTCATAAGCGAACTATTATATTATCTAATTCTCTTTTTTTAATATTATACTTACTGTGAATCATAATTTAATTGTGCAGTAACAATTTCACCTATATCATAATCACTTTCTTGAGTATCATTATCAGATTCAATTTCATTAAAATTCTCACTTTCATAACTATTAAAAGATATAAAAACTGGAGATCTAAAATTAATAAAAGTTGAAATATTTAAATCTAAATATTGTTCATTTGAATAAAGATTTTTAGCAAAATTAAGCATTTCAACATTTTCATTATCTATTAATATTTCTTCTTCAACCTCTTTAAAAACAGTTTTGGCAATATTTGCTATTATTTTAGAAGTTATTTCTGCAATTTGAGTATGACAAAGTTGTTCTATAGGGTTTGATAAATTAAATTAATAAATTTTTGCTAATTCTTCTAACTGATCTATGCTTAATCTAGTTTGATGCTTTCTATAAATTCATCCTAATGCTGAAAATTCACAAAGAGCTAAACTTGGTATAATAGAAAAAAGCTTAATTGCCAAGCATTATAAATAGTTAGGCTTAATTTCATATATATTTCACCACATTAATGGTGTATCAGTACTAACTGTATAGTTAGCAGTATAAGGATTTATATTTCCATTTATAATTTTTTTTTGCTTTTTATAAATTTGTAATTGTGTTATTAAAATTTTACAACTTTCTTGTTTTTTATCTATTTGTTGCCATAGCATTTTAGCAAAATTTGCAATTAAAGAAAATATACCAAACTTTAATCCAATACTTTTATATGCTAGATAAAAAAAATATATAAATTGATAGATAGAATCATTAAATTCTTCAAACCATTTATTAAATTTTTTAATATATTCATTATAAAATCCTTTATATTTATTAGTAGGAAAATTATGAATTGCTACAGAAATTTTTATTAAATTAATATAATAGTTAGCAAGTGTAAAACAATTTGCTTTAATAGCAAAAATTACTTCTTTAATTAGAAATAAAATAATTAAAAGATATTGCAAATTAGTGAAAAAGCCTTGACTATTAGACTATCCTAGCAGGACCTACAAAAATACACAAATCAGAAAACGTTCTCGATGTTGATCATTTCACATGATGCAGTGTAAATTACAACTTTGCGCAAAGGTTCCTCTATAGCCACCAGGACAAATCTGAGTATTTTTTTTTATTTGAATTCTACAAATTCATAAAATTCAAATAAAATAATTTTTATCGAATTTGACTTTGTCTTTATCAAAGTATCTTCGCTCAAAATTTGAGAAAAGTTTCAGCACAGTAGCTATTTTGATAGACATTTTAGATTTTTTTAAAAATTTGAGCAAAAGTATCTTGATAATTACTAGATCAAATCCAATAAACTTTTTTTTATTTGAATTCTACAAATTTGTAAAATTCAAATAAAATAATTTTTATCAAATTTGATATTGTGTTTATTGAGATATCTTTGCTCAAAGTTTAAAAAAAGTTTTAGTATAGCTTCTGTTTTGAATTTTTTTAAAAATTTAAGCAAAGGTAACTTGATAATTACTAGACCAAATTTGATAAACTTTTTTCTGGTTAAATTCTACAGATTTATAGAACTCAAATAAAAATTTCATCTAGTGGGTATTGAGATACCTTCACTTAAATTTTTAAAAAACTCAAAACATCTATCAAAGTAGAAGCTGCACCAAAACTTTACTCAAACTTTGTGTAAAGATATCTCAATAACCACCAGGCCAAATTCAATAAACTTTTTTTTATTTGGTTTCTAAGAATTCAAATAAAATAATTTCAGCAAATTTAGCCTGGTGATTATCTGGATATCTTCGCTCAAAGTTTGGGAAAAGTTTTAGCGCTTCTTCTATTTTCTGTAATTTAAGAGTATAGAATGCTATAAGCAATTTGAATTATCTATTAGAAAACTTTTTACTAATTTCATCTTTGGTATTACATACTTTTAATTCTTTATAGAAGCTTCAGAAGCATATAACTATTTTATATAAAAATTTAAGTCCAATCAGGCTTTTGTATTACATACTAACACAATTGCAAGATATTTGAAATCAAAAATATGATATTTAACTAATGCTAAGGTTATTAAATATATGCATCTAGACAAACTTGTTTGTAAATACCTTATAGTATAAAAAACAACTCTTTAATTTATTATATTCTACTTAAATGTTTTAATTAATAATATTTTATAATATTACTACTTTTAATAGATTGCATTTTTTTTGTTTATGTATTATATCTTTTTTTTTTTAATATTACTTAATTTTTATATATATTCCTAATAATTTCTCGGACCAACTTTTCAAATCCAAATTTTTAACAAAAACAGTAAAACTATGTTAGAGAAGAAGAATATAAGACTGACGAAAACTATAAACTGGTGCCTATTATTTAGAGATAGTTCTCATA